GACTTATATAGCGTCAAAGGTTTGTGCAGCGCATTATAAAATGGGGGAGACAGTACAGTTACAATACAATTTGAGCACAATAGGATTAGGAGGGTCCTGTTTGTGAGAGCTTACAATCTAGTAGATGCAAACCTGCAGTTAATGCAAACCTCCACAAATGGGACAGACAGGAAAAAAACGGTTGGCTAATTAACCATTCCCTGCTCTATCCAAAAAAAAGGTTTGGCATTAGATGCATTTTAAAAGTGTAAGTTTACCTCTTCTATTATGTTTCATGTTACACCCATATTCAGGGTGTAACATGAAACATGGTGATGATGCCACCACTGATAGCATTTTAAATGCTTTACTGGCTCCAATGCAAAAAAATAAAATAAATGCACAATTTTCCTTTAACAAAGTGTGCATTTATTATTTTATTTGAAAACGTGGACTTAGCCTTTCAGTATATTAATAGCATGCTGTAGACTGTTTGTAATCGTTTACAAAAAAACAAAAATAAAAAAAATTTCCATATTTGCTTTTGTCTAACCCTTCATTCTAAAGATGACCATAAATGTAGCAATTTGTAATCAATTCAGGAACAAGTGATCACAAACAAGTGCTTCATTCCTTTAAATATCAAACAATGTAACACACGTGGTATTCTGCACTTTGTGGTCGATTTAAAAGTATTGATAGAAAATACAAGCTAACAGTTATAATTGTAAAATGATTTACTAAGACTAATAATTTAAATCAATCGGAATTGGAACAGTCGGATCTTTCAACACAAACAGATATTTATTCAATTGATCAGAAGCAACTGACAAAGTTGTGCTGCAGCTGACAGATCACTAAATAAATCCAATGGAGGATCTTTGGTTTGCAAGTTTTATTTAGGTTGATCATTTCAGTCAAAGTGAATGACTGATTGCATGATCATATCGACATGTGTGGCCACCTTTACCTAGGGTTGTAGGAATAAAGTGCCCGATTCCCCCTTCTGGTAGTCTTCCTTCATGCTGTGTAACCATTCCCTAAATTCTCTAAGGTGCTCCTGGCTGGTGGTCACACCCTAACGTCATCAGGTACAATGCAGGACCAATAGTCCTACATTGTATGTTGGGACAGCCCGTCCACAACCTGGCATATGGTAAGTATTACACTTTATTTCTCTACCCCTAGGCAAAAATGATCATTTAACCTTTGGAGTGCAGGGTCTGGGACACCACAACGCTGTGTGCCATGGTACAGTGTTGCAAAAAAAGGTACAGGTCTTTTTTTTTTTGCTGTGACAAAGTATATGTAATGTTTTGTTTTGGATAGATTAGGGAATGGTAAACTCCTACCAGTCTTTTTTTTTGTTTGCCCTCCATGTCCCATAGTAGAGATTTCTATTCACATCCTGTCCCAGAGATGCAACAGGAAGTCAGAGGAAATCTCAACAAAATTAGCGGAGTTCCATTCTTAAACGGCTGTCACTAAAATTACTGCCACCATTGAAAAATATACCCCACCTCCTGTTCTGGTGCCAATTATAAAATGTTGGATTTCCCATCACAGACAGCATTATACATTTTCTAATTCTTCCCCACTCTATCCCCCCCCCCAAAAAAAAATAATTGGCTATGCATATACTTTAAGGTGCATTGCCGGTCTGTTTAAAATGGACTGCTTTAACACAGCACATTATAACATGTTGCATTATTAAACAATGTGTAATACACATGCATTAAATGAATGCATGTTGTGAAGGGGGCCTTAGGTGTATTCATTCTAGTGCCCTCTTCTACACATTTATGCTTTGCAGCTGTGCTGTGTGGGGTTGTGTTTTGTTTTTGTTTTTCCATTTGCTTGGGTGTCCTTCTACCTTGCTTTGCTATTAGCATTTTATACTTTCACTGAACTGTGCACATAACTCCTGCCTAACCTGTTTCCAAGGTCAGCTATCTTGAAGGTAAAACTCATTAGTTTTTGATGCGATAGTTTTCTGAGTTTTCATTGCAAATGTTTTGGTCACTTTTATGGTACTTATAGGTACTGCTGGTGTGATCATTTTTCTTTATGTTTAAAATTTTTTTTGTCATTAAAATGTTTAAGATTGAGGTTTACATTACCTTCAAGGACCCATTTACTATCTGCTCCGGTGAATTATGTTGATGTATGTTACATGCATTAGTGTATTGGTGTTTCGTTTATTGTGAATGGCAAGCCAAAGCACCTCTAATGCATATATGGTGCAGCAATGCACTACTGTGTGCTGTGTTGAAAAAATGCTGCATGGTTTTTGTTTTGTTTTTTTTGTCCATTATGTTGCATTGGTAGCCCATTCTTTTAAATGGGCTGCCTTAACACAATGCATGTTAACACAACGCAAAAGAATGGTAAAGTGTAAATAGGCCTTTAGGGAAACCTGTGTTTTGCCAATGCAGCAGGTTCACATAACAGCGGTCCATACTTGCCCTGCCTGTTCAGCTGCCAGAAGTGAAGAAAATTACATTGATTTGGGGTATAGGGGGCATGATACTCACTCCCCTCAGTCACACGTTCAAGTGATGGTGCATGCTATACAGTGGCGGACCTAATAACCAAAGGGCCCTGGTGCAAGAATTTATCTTGGGCCCTTAGAAGTGACATTTCAGGACCGATCATCTGTTTCAGGGCAGATCGGTTTTCTCCTGCACATGCGATTTGTGATGCCCTAGAGCAGCAGAGAAAGCGTTGGAATGCTTCACCTATTCCACCGCCGAAAAACTATGCGAGATTACGTGAAAATGTGTGACCACGTCACTGGTCACACATTCTAACATATTCTCAAACTTTGATAGAACAGAGGCCTGTCTGTAATCATTTAATCAGATAAATAGATTATAATAGGGAAAATTGCAGTGTAATATTACCCATTATAATGTATTTGTCTAATTACATGAAATAGCAGTACACAACAGAGAAATAGATTATAATAGGGAACATTACAGTGTAATATTCCCCATTATAATCCACTTGTCTGATAACATTAAATAGCAGTACACAACAGAGAAATAGATTATAATAGGGAACATTACAGTGTAATATTCCCCATTATAATCCACTTGTCTAATTACATGAAAAAGAGCAGTACACAACCCCTAACCCCCCCCCCCTATTTTTTCTAGACTGAGTACATCAACTGTAAAGGACTACAAATACAGTTCCCACTCTCCCACACATCCCCTCTAGGAGAGCGGTGTGGGGGTGGAGGTGGAGACAGCGTTGTCACAGGAGGCTGAGCTCTCTTCCCGCACTGCTCGCTCAGCCTCCTGTGACAATAAGCGATGCGCTGGACTCAGGAAAACAGTGGACTTAGCAGTAAAAACAGAAGAATGCTAAGGCCTTGTTCACACCGAAAGCGTTGCGTTCCAGAGCGGTAGCTGCTGGAACGCAACGCGATCCCTCACGAAACTTGTCCCTGCGTTCTGGGGTGGGAGGGGGCGTGGTGGTGCATTTAATTCAATGGCACCGCTTCCATGTCCTCCCCCCCCCTGCCCCGCCTCTGGTCCCGCCTCGACCCCTCCTCTTCTACCACCTGACAGTTCTCTCTGTGCGGCCCAGCTTGCCGCAAGGACCGCAACCGCCGCCCTCACCCTATCAGCGCCCTTGCGGTAGCGCCGGGCCTGGGTGTGGGGGTGCCCAGGACCTGACCCCACTGGGCCCCCGCAAAGCCTCAGGCCCCGGGCCCCCACACCGGTTGCACCGGCGGTGGTTCCACCACTGATGCTATACTAGATGTGGCAAGGGTAGGTAATGGGATCCACACCTGCTACCATGTTGATTTGATCACTGCTTACTTTTAGGCATCCTTCAGGATGCCCTTACTATGCTTATGGTTGGTAATGAGTAGGGATGCACCGATACCAAGTATAGTACTCAGTACATGTACAGATACTTTTCGAGCTCCAAGACTAGACTAGAGAAAAATTTAAAAGTTAGGAGGCAGCTGTCATTAGTAAGGAGCTCCTGGGATTTGTACATCTCTGTTTTAATGTATGATTTTGTTTTTATAAATATAAATAAAGGGATGCACCAATACCAGTTTTGCAAGTACAAGTACTGATACATTTTTGTTTATTGTCATGTGACAGTTTTTCTAAAACAATAAAGACTAATGATATCAGGACAGTGGTGGAGTGCCAGAGCCAGGTCCCAGCTGCAACCACTGCAACCCTGGTAGTTCTCATGAAAATGCCAAGTATCGGTGCATCCCTAGTAATGAGCAATTTATGTTGGGCAGTACTTCCTTTAAATTTGTGTCATGGCTTCCCATTTTCTTTTATCTATTTATCCATCCGCAATTCTACAGTGAACAGAAATTTGATTAAGGTCCCAAAAACTGTTCACTCATGGGTTCTTTGGTTACTACGTCTGCAACAGGCTGCATGAACGGGAAAATCTCTTGCCTAGCAAAGACTCTACAGTGCTTCAAGGTTTCCATACCTCCTGTCATGAAGTATGTATGGTACCATTCCTGACCTTTTTTAAAATGCTAGTTTCCTGGCTGCTATGTTAACCCTTTGGCTCCAGATCTTTCTGAATTACTGACCTGGAACAAGTATGAAAATCAGGAATGTCAGAAGTCATTCTCTACATTCTTGCACCCAGTCAGGGACCTAAAGTATTGAAGGAAGTGGATCAAAATAACAGCCAGGCACCTATCAGAGGTTTAGCAAAGCTTCAACATTTTACTCGGGACGGGTTTCCTTTAACACAGGGGTACTTGGCAAATAGCTTAATGCATCACCTGTTGGCTGTGAAAAGTTTAGACTATTAATTACTTCTACCAGCAAGGTTCTGCCCTGATGTTTAGCAGACTTTTCTACCACATTTGGTTACCCATGTCAAATTACAGCAGAATATAGACGTGAATATAGATTTGTCAGGCATGACAGCTCTGGAAACTTGATAACCAGTTTGGTGAGTTTACAGACTTACCCAATACTTTTACTGCCTCTAATTTCTTTGGATTAGCATAAGTTAGTTTACACAGGTTTGGAACTAATTGTATGATTAATCTTTGCAGAGCTGGATAGAACACCAATGGCTCGACCACAAGCTTCGGATGAGCTGATTTTCTATGTGAATGGAAAAAAGGTATGCTAAAATTGTAGTAAACATTTTATTAGCAATAGACAATTCTGTACTTGAAGCACCTTTTACATCAGAAAATAAGTTTTATTTCATTCGATATATATTTGTATTTCCTTGTGATTTTATGCTAAGAATCTTGGAGAGCAAATGGAAATAATATTTTTTTTGTATGAATATCAGATTATATCATAGTAGAACCAAATCTAAGAAAGTTGGAGTAAAAGAGAGGTAGCCGTCTGTAGCAACTAACCAATCCGTTTTATTTCTTTACTTACATTATGAAAAAATGATAATCCAGTTTATTTTGGTCCAGAAACCCTTTTGCTCCATTTTTTTGAAGGCATTCTTATTATGCAAAGAACTAAAATACTTTGATGCATGGCGTTTCCTTGCAGTCTTTCTGTAATTCTGATGATTATGTCCAAATATATATCACTGTACATTGCTCTCTATGGAGTAAGCTACAATGTAGCTAAAATGTAATGGTGATCAATTGTGCATGATTGGAGCATTGTACTGAATACTACTAGAAGCTACATGTGCAGTTTTCCTAGCCAATAATTGCTACTTTTGACTATTCACCAGGAGTGATTTTAGTAGCTTGATTGAGCTATGAAACCTTATACAATCAGCCACAGTTGCTAGCTTGTCAATAATGCTCATAGTACCCTTCGCTTTGTAGTGCAGAATGTAATGTATTGCATTGTGGGGAAAAATAATGGTTGATGTGTCCCATTTAAGTCAGTTGAATGAGAAGCTATGAAAAGCAGCACATTAAATATACATGGCAACATGGTCCCTAAATAGAGATTGCTGGTTGTTGTTTTTTTCTGTATGTATATTTAAACATATTCTAGTTTGGGATCAAGTTCAGAAGGGTTAAAGCCCCTATTGGGTTTGATAGATGTATTTATTTCTCTGTGTCTTGCTGAGGAGATTCCCTTTTACTTCCTGTCTTGGAGATGCAACAGGAAGTGAGGGGAATTCCTAGCTTATAGAAAAAGAAATAGCCTCAAATTATCGAGATCCCATTTCTTTTTCTATATTTGTAAAAGAGACCCATGGGCTATAAAGTATCTTTATATATGTAATTACAAACCCCAATCCCTCAATTGTATATAGAATCCCTACCTTAGACAGTTTTCGCCAACTGAGTGACGATGCTGCACTTGGTGCAAACTCCGTCCGTCTGAGTTTGCCTAAGCCCAACTCAAAACTGTGACCGCCACCCCTTCCCTCCCCCCAAGGGGAGACACATGTAACC